TTCTCTGTCTCTTTCTTTCCCTCCTCCTTCCCTTTCTTCTCTCTCTGCCTCGCTCATCTCTTAATTTTGAAAAGGAAGCCTCTACTTCTGGAGTATGAAATCCAACTGATTGGAACTAGCACTTATGAAGCCCCTACTGCATACCAGATACTGTTATTTAAGCACAGCCATCTTATAAAGACAGGCCTTATTATCCCTATTTTTAAGACGAAGAAACTGAAGTTCAGAAAGTTGGGTGATGTGCCCTATTCGAAAGTAGACGAGTTGAGATTTGAATCCGTTCTGTGGGACTCGAACGTTGAGATGAGCCCATTACTCCCTACTCTTGCCGGGGTGTCATCCACAATGGATCAGATGCGAGGAGCGGGGGGCAAGACGGGAAACAGAGACCAGGGAGGGTCTGCTGAGAGATGAAGGTGGGAGCAGATACAGTAGATTTAAGCAAAGAGAACCAGTAGGAATTGACCATCAGTTTAATTTTGGGCATGAAGTAAAGGGAAAACTTCCCAGTGGCTGGCTGGAGGCCTGAACCGACGGTGACATCATTTCTCCAGGGAGCAGGTTTGCGGGCGGGAGGGCAGAGCTATACTATGCACCACCTGTGGGGTAGGCAGGTAGAGATGTGAATCCAGAGGTGTGTGGACAAGTCCAGACCATTGGCCTTTGGTGGAAAAAACTTTCTCTGTTGTTGCTATTGTTAGCTATCATTGACTCACGGCGACCCCATGCACAGCAGGATCGGACATTGGACCATTGTGATTCACAGAGCTTCCACCGGCTGATTTTCAGAAGTAGATCGCCAGGCCTTTCTTCCTAGTCTTAGTCTGGAAGCTCCGCTGAAGCCTGTTCAGCATCATAGCAACACGCAGACCTCCACTGACAGATGGGTGGTGGCTGTGCATGAGGTGCCTTGGGGATTGAACCTGGTGTCCTGCATGGAAGGAGAGCATTCTACCACTGAACCACCGCTGACTCCTACCTTCTCCATTATTGAGCAGGTATGTGACAAACACCTGTGAAAGGGATGATTGGCGCTGCTGTGAGCAGGTATGTGACAAATACCTGTGAAAGGGATGATTTGCGCTGCTGTGAGCAGGTATGTGACAAACACCTGTGAAAGGGATGATTTGCGCTGCTGTGAGCAGGTATGTGACAAACACCTGTGAAAGGGATGATTTGCGCTGCTGTGGTCTATGGTGGCTCTGCCACTTGGGCCTTCTTCACCCGCAGGGTCACACTCTTCACATCTTCTGTCCGCTCGCCTCCTTTGTTCTCTTCCTGAGGACACTCTCCCTTGTGCTCCACTAGATCAGAAGGTGGGTGAGTAAGAACGATCTCTTATGAAAAGGAATTTTTCTCTACCTTGTGATTTGAGGAGAAAAAGAACCCACAAAGCACCAGTTCATTCAAGGAATTATATCAAATCCCCAAAGCATTGCCTTACACACTCTAAATCAAGCGCCCTGCTTTTAAATTGGAACCTACAATCTCTTAGCAAAAAAAAGTAAGTGTGATTTATCACTCCAATCTTGCAGCCCATGTATCGCAGACATTTAACTCCTGGGAATGAATAGCCTTGTTTGCCTTGAAGCAGACTGTAGACATTTGATTCGTGACCAGGCATCTTGACTTTTAATGGCCTGCAACCAACTAAAATAAGCAGAAAAAGTTACTACCAGCAAGAGGCAGGGAGACACCATTACTCAGTACCCCGGTAGCATGCTGTGTATCTCTGGGATTTCTTTTTTTATACCTAATGGCTTCAGAACAATGTTTGAATATAAGACTGTGGGACCTGTCCCACAGGAAACAAAACCCAAACCCAAACCAGCTGCCACTGAGTGGATCCCCACTCGTGGCGAGCCCGTGTGTTGCAGAGTAGAACTGAAATCCATGGGGTTTTCAAGGCTAGGAACTGCTGGAAGCAGATCGCCAGGTCTTTCTTCCAAGGCACCTCTGAGTGGGTTCAAACTGCCAATCTTTCAGTTAGTAGTTGAGTGATTTCACCATTTGTACAAGAGGAAGTTGTGAACTATTGAATTCTAGAGACCCTGATGACGATCTCAAGAAGGACCCTGCAATACTTGTACATACAGCGTACGGTAATTATTACCCCCTACTCATTGCAAAGTAAATATATGTCACTGTCTGCATCAGAGGTCAGCGGGCCATCTGCTGAAGGCAAGGCATCATCCCCGAGATGACTCCTGGGCGGGCTGGGACTCACAGGGCTTGTCATCTCTCTGGCAGACTAGGGCTTCACTTGATAAATGCCATCTCCTCCTCCCACACCGAGGCCGGGACTCTTCAGGTAACATCGACAACTACAGCCGGTGAGTTCTGTGTGGCGGATCTTACTCAAGGATGGAGAGAACTCCGATGTGCCAGAGCTTAACTGTCTGAGCAAAACTAAGGCACCAGGATTCAGGCCGTCAATCTGCTCTGAAATGCCCAAGAATCACTTGGAAGCAGACCTCAAACTAATAACGAAACAAAGCGGACCTCGGGGTATGAGCTGGGGGAGTTGCCAGACCAGGCAGGCAGGATAAATGGATCTGCTGTAAGTCTCTCTATCCGCTTGGTTGCTGCACCCACCTGAAGGAGCAGCCAAGCTGCTGAGGTTAACCGTGATGGCATATGGAACCTGGGAAACAGGGTCTAACTGGAGCTTCTCAGTGTCCCTCTCCTTTTTAGGGGCTTTCAGGAAAGTAGGGGAGAGGGCTGATATCACTAAGTGGGAGAGCATATTCAGGCAAGTGTGAGAAAGACCATACCGGGAAATGGCGCAAACCTTAAGATGTAGAGAAACTCCAACAACTCCAAGCTGGAGAGGCAAGACCTTCTAGAAGCCATCTGGAAGGAGCGACTGGTGATTGATAACTAAGTCTGCATGCCACTCAGACAAGGGGTTGCTGTTGTTGGGTGCCGTCAAGTTGATTTCAATTCATAGCAACCCTATGCAACACAGCAGAACTGCCCCTGGTCTTTCTCCCATGGAGCGGCTGGGTGGGTTTGAACCACCAACATTTAGGTTAGCAGCCAAACTCAACCGTTTGCGGTACCTGGGCTCCTTCAGACAAGGGGAGTCCACCCCAAAATGGAGGCGATTTCCCCAGTGCTCTGGCATTTAAATTGTTTTCAATGCTAATTATCTCTCCATTCTTTTCAAAAGGGGAAAGAACCAACCTGTAAAAGCAAGCCTCTTCTATTCTGCTTTAGGACTGGAAAATGCCAAAGCTTTCTCCAGAGATGATTTATGTTTTGGGGTCAGGAATGGAGGAAGGGAGCAAAGCTTTTTCCTTGGGAGAAGCCAACGAGTACCACATTCATAAAATTCGTAATAACTACCACTTACCGAGTGTTTACAGTTAGGCACTGTTGTGGATTGAACCGTGTCCCCCCAAATATGTACTGAAGTTCTGGCCCCTGTAGCTGTGGATGTGATCATGTTTGGAAATAGGGGTTTTCTTTTGTTAAAGAGGTCATACCAAAGTAGGATGAGTCCTAAATCTTATCACTTCTGAGTTAGAAAAAGAGCAGGACACAAAAACGCAGAGACAAACTCCCTATGAAGACAGACAAACACGACAGATGCATCTACAAGCTCATGAACGCCAAGGATTGCCGGCAACTACTAGAAGCTGAAGCAGACAAAGAAGGTCCTTCCCCTGGAGCCATGCCCTGAACTCAGACGTTTAGCCTCCTGAACTGTGAGAAAATAAATGCCTGCTTTTTAGGGCAACCTACTCGTGGTGTAATTTGTATCAGCAGGCCCAGGTAACTAAGACAGGCACGGGGCTACGTGCTTCATTCATTTCATCCTCATGAACCCTCAAGGGGAACATGTCATCATTATTCTTTCACAAATAAGAAAACCAGAATAACGAGATGTTTATAACTTGCTTAAGGTCACATAGTGTAACCTGACCCTACAAATGCCAGTAAATTTCCATTAGTCCTTAAACTAGCCCAAGCCAGATTTGGCCCACCCTACATGTGCAGAAGGGCCAGCTGTGACTGCTAATTGAGTTCAACAGAGGACGCAGCAACAGGTGGAGCGAATCAGAAAGAAAATCATCACCCAG